GAAAAAAATCTCAGTTAAACCTGACTGGCATTTTTTAAAACCTGTTTTATCTCGAAATTTAAGCTTCTTGCTTATTGGCTAGCACTGGGTATTATAACCGGCTGATTATGAAAGTGAAGTCAATCAGAATCATATCAATTAATTGGTGAACCCATGGCTAATTACATCTCAGATGTTCATACTCGTAAATACATTAAGACATGAACCAAATGGATTATTGTATTCCGACTATCATCTATTGATACTCAAACATGGCACGAACATAAAGTAACACAGATATGCTAATGGAAACCGGAGGCTTCTTTTAAAGAAATGCTGATGAATTAATCCTGTAATCTGTGAGGTTTATGTAAATTAACTTGCCATATTGGCTGCCATTTTGAAAAAAGGTGATCTTCTCCATGACATGCCGGTAGATCAATTTTTGCGTGACTAATGAAGCGCAATAACCCACTATTTAAGGCAATACACCTAGCCTTGTTCAACTGCTTAAGATTACTCAATCGTACACATTTCCATTAGTACGCCTCAATAAGCCTGTATGGTAACAGGCCTATTCTTTAAGTGTTATTATCAAGTGCAATGTGTAATGGGATGGCTGAGGAAAGACCAGTATTTATGGCATCCTGACTAAATTAAAAAGACATTGAAACATGTTCTCTAGACTTTATCATATCACTGACGATGTAATAATATTAATGGCTTAGTCTTTATTATGATTATCGTTATCAAGAGACTTACTCTACGAGCAAAAAGTCTTCAATACAGAAATGCGTCTGCGTCCAGCACATCTATTCTCCATATATATAGTTGGTTACATATTAACAACAGAACAATAAATATTTACCACAACCAAATAATAATAGTTCTTCTGTGTCTGACGTTTTACAGTACCTTTCTACATTAATAGATAAGGACCACTTTCATATTCTATGCATATTTGCTACTGGCCACATTTTAGTCTTTTTTTTTAAATTACAGTGTTTTGATTTGATGAATTTGTCTAAAATTTCTCATGAACATCACTCAAAGGTTTATCTAAAATGGTATTGTAGGAATTTTTATATTTCAAAATTTTCCTGAAATAGTATGGAAATTATGTTTCTAGTTTTAAGAAGCCCTGGCATGTTTTAGTTAACGTAAAACTCACAAATATGACGAATATTTCTACCAACAGATATAAATTTCCAAAAGTCGGCATATAATCTCTTATAATATACTAAACAGCAAAAAAAAACACGTCAGTACGATTTCAAAATCAGAGAGGCACTTTAATCAAATCATTCTAGAAAACAACTTACTAAATGGATCAAAGCAATTTTTTGTGAACAGTATGTTGACACATTAGTAATTAATTCATCACAATTCCAAGACATTACCAGAAGGTTTAGAGTCTGTACACAGTCTATACATCAGTATCTGGTGTGTCCACCGCAAGTGTCAATAACAGCGGCGCAGCGTCTGTACATGGAGTGGACCAGACGATTCATGAACGCCATTGGCACCTGGAACCATGCTCTCAGAAAAGCCTGGCGCAATCCTAGGGCTGTGTTTGGTCTCGGTACGAGATTATTAAGTCTCCTCTGAATTTCATCCCAAAGATGTTCAATCGGCTTTAAGTCCGGACTAAGGGCTGGCCAGTGCATAACATTAACAGAAAGTCTCGGGTGTTGTCAGGCTGGAAAACATTGTTTTTTCGATGACGTGCGAAATGTGATATGACGTGGGGTCTGAGAGCTTGATCGATGTAGCACACTGCTGTGATACCACCTCCTCTCCCTGGACCAAGATTTTGAAACACCATAGGACCCATTCTCTGGTTTAGGCCAATTCCACCCCAAAGCATTATGCTTGGACCTCCCCATGATTCACATTCCATGACACATTGATCAGAATAACGCTGGCCACATCAACGCCATATTCTCGTCCTGCCATCTGCAGTTGATACGCAATGCCGGCTCTCATCTGTGAACAGAACAGTTCTCCATTACTTGTCGCCAGTTCTGGTGTTGGTGGGCAAACTGTAGACGTTCACGTCGATGGTGAGAGGTGAGGATTGGTCTCAGTACTGATGGGTCTTCCGTGTGTTCCCACTGTCTGATGTGCTGTCTCAGATGCCTATGTGAAGGGATTCTGCACGTGCTGTCGCACAACATGGCGATCTTGTCGTCTTGTGGTAACCCTTGGTCCGAACATTGACCTGGAAGTGATTGGCTACAGCTTGGGCAGTGTGGCCAGTGTCGAATCTTCCAAGCACCTGGTTCCTCTGAGCTGTTGTGAGTCGTGGCATGCTGCTGACTTTGTAATGTGTATGATTCAAATAGGTGTGGGGGTGCATTTTATAGGGCTGGTCCCGGTGAACAGCACGTGCAGCATGAGTTACATGAAAATCATGGAGAACACATTACTATCTCAGAAGTCACGTTGCATTTTGAGAACATTTCCTGGGTTCAATTCTGTGTTTGGGCCTTATTGCTCAGGTAAAGTTGAAGATGTGTTCACAAATAAACAATAAAAAGATTTGGCAAGTTTTATGCAATGCATCTATTCAGAGTAACATACCAATCTGACGTTTCTTTTGCTGTTTAGTATACTTTTAGCCAAAGTTCTATTCAACTCTTTATAAAATTTATTCAAATTGAATATTTTGTTCTGAAATACTGGATTTAGTTTTATTTTATGAATACACATGTTTCAATTAAAAATAAAATAAAAGACATATTTGAAGAAAACTTAGTGCTAACAATAGTAGAATCAGCTTCCTCAGCATACAAAGAAAATACTAATTCAGTCTCAATTCTGAAATCAACATTTTCTCAGGCTAATAAATCGTGAATTACGATCTTTTCCATATAAATGTAGTTACAATCAATTAAGAATGGAAAGGAAGCCTTTATATTAATAAATTCTTGGCCAAACCTAATGGGCGTTCACAGAATCCTCGTGGGGCTCTTGTAATTAACAGCTACAGAGAACTATAAAATAAATCAACCATGCTTTACACAGTTACAAAGATGTTATGGATAGTCAATAAAGGCAATCATGCTACTAGATTTAAGATAAATATTAATTAGACTCCTTCTCTATGTGCAGTAGAATGGCTTTGGATATATACTCCTACAAGACAAAAATATTATGGGTACAGTACATGTAAAATCTATATATCAAGGATGCCATACAATTAAGCCAATCCTTGAGACAATTCATTGCTATGAGTAATCTGAAAGCTGTATAAAATGTTCTAAAAAAATAAAATTCATAGGAGAGACTAATTAATGACAGATTAGATCAGTAGTGGAAGCCAATATAACACAAAGACAAAAAGGATTTTCTACCTCTATGTTGTCGTATTGTTTTAAATATACATGTAGATGAATATTACAACATTTCTTAGTGATCAATAAATTCCTTGTGTTCACAGAAAATACCACAATTTTTCAATGACTTATGAGGTGGGTCCGCTTCTTTTGTTAAAATAAATTCTGTGTAACCAGTTCAGAAAAAATAGAATTAATCGAATACGTAAACAATATAAGACTATAGATAATAGATGAAATCAATCTACTGCATAGAAATACTTTACCTGAAGTCATCAAGTACAACATATAAATAATGGTAATATTCTTTATATGTGCTGATAAAAACCTTAATATTCTTTTTAAAAAAGTCTCTCTTTATTAAAGATAGAACAGACATTACAGAATACTATTATTTTTAACACAATGTGATTATTGACAGGTATTGTTCTCATCAAATGTAACTCATGATAATTATAACAAAGTACATATTATTACATACATGTACGTGTCATATTTGAAATATTTTATATGGATAAATAAGTCAAATAATTAAATTTGTAAATGGAATTTTATCTTTAAGCAAGGTGTCATAACTTCAAACTGCAATGAATTGATAACCCTTAACTCTAAAATAATTCATCCTAAAAATATTTTAATAGTTAATACTGGCAAGTTTTATCTCTTTCCAACTCAATATTATCTTTTTCACACTAAACTCACTTCTTTCTGTAGCAACCGATAATCAACATGAGTGAACTATACTTTTTAGTCTGATATTTCCATTTATTACAGTAATTCATTAAACAGATCAACAAGGTTAAACATGGATCCAAACTGGGGGGGGGGGGCTCTTTATTGACACAATCACTGGTTTATTATAAACAAGCACTACGTTTTGATAAGTATTCTCTTATGGTTATCAAGCACAATGGATTCAAACTTTTGGGGGGTGGGGGAGGGGCTCTTTAATGACAAGTTTTGTGTTTATTTTATTTTTTTTTAACAGAACACCATCCCTTTTTCTACATGCCTATAAAATCCTATTCTTACTTAACTGTTAATCTCAGATACTGAGATAAATTTTAATGAATAAAATAGATTAATTCTGTGTGGTAGGCTCTTAGAACTATTAATCTAGTTTCATGCAAAACTATCTTAAACCTTTGTGAAATGTTTTTAGAGAAACACAAACATCGAGTTGTTAGGTGGGACTGTAATAAATGCATGAATAACATGGGGTTTAATGTCCTACTAGGTGGGGTTGGAGATGAGCTTCTTGTGCCTGAATGAGCCTGTCTATACTAAAATCTTTCTGCACTAACAACTTCCTTGGTTTGGGGTTGGGTTGTTTTGTTGTTTTTTTTGGGGGAGGAGGGGTCGTTTTCCAGTGAGTAATAGAATTTGGCAGTTTATTGCTGTCTTTTAGTAATTAACATTTATTAGATTGGAAAAGTATAAAATAGTTTCCTGTATCCAGAAAAACAAATGATGTGATTTGAAAAAGTGGGCCTATAAACTGTTTTGATAATATTTCCAATTGTTCCAATATTCTGAGCTAAAATTTCAGACAAGTTGATTGTTCTATTTCTTAACATTTTGGTGTTTTATTACAGAGACCAAATGAAAGCTATGACTTAAATAATCTATTGTGTTGAATAACATAAATTTATATATAAAATGTGATCATTTTTCTATTTTCAGTACGCTATGGATTATGGTATAAACCACCCCGTACTCCATCTGAGGCATTACAACAAGGATACACAAGAGTCAATGATATCTGTAAAAGTAAGTCTCTGTTATATTTTAGATTGAACATACATGTGGGCTAAACGAAGCAATTTCATGCAAAATTTTTAAATCAACAGTGAAAAACCAAATCTTTGTAGCTCCATTTACAAACTGAATCTCTATTCTGAAGATCTGCATTTTCAGCATATGGCACATAGAAAAAAAATTATATAAGATACACACAATTAATTTGGCATGGTTTTTCATGGAGAAAAAAAGAATTTAAAAGTAACACCTTTTTAAGCAAACCCAAGTCAACTAAGTGTTGACGTAAAATAAATAGTCACCATGATTGGGTTGTGATTTTTCTGTGAATGTTTATAGCTATGAGAAACATGGAATGTTGATTTTCTATTTCAAGAGGCACTACCACATAATCATCTAAGAATAGCAAAGCAGAAAATTCAGATTTGACTTGATTTGATTTTACATTTAAATTGGACATATTTGAATCAGATCATGTACAAATTTAAAACAAATCTACCAATCTAGTACAGACATTTGTAGTGGTTTTCAAGGACTTCTGCACAATCTCAAGTATTGAGTGTTCCTTTTATTTGGGATATATTTTAAAAATTAAATATATTTTTTTTGATGAAAGTCATAAAGTTTAAACATATATTATAGATTTTGTAAATTCTATTACCGGTGACTATTTTCTATAAGAAAATCACATCGTTTAAAATAGTTAAAGAAGAAGGATTTACTTTGAAAACTCTCATTAAACTAATGGAGAAATAGAAAGCATTGTGAAATCATATAAATGGAATACAAGACCAGATGTGTGGTTGAAGTTATCTGGGCAGAGATAACTTTGGATTATAGTAATCTACCATCCAATTACAGTCACGATTCCCTCATCTACCCCTTAGGCTACCATTCTAAGGAACTAGTTCAAGCAGATCAATTTTCGTGATAGCTACTCCTATTACTATGGTCAGTTGTTCAGTTTGTCACCAAACAGGTGGACGGAAGGAAATTATTTTATTCTCTTTAATGACTTTTAATATGTCCATATTTAGGTATATAATTGTAGGGAGGGCTTTCAATATGTCAAGAGTCTGGGCTTGTCTTAAATGTGTGCTTGTGAGTGAGTTGACTACAGTAATATTATAATGTCTCGTAGGTACCGGTATAAGGTGTATGAAAATGGACGTACATGTACTTTAAATTGATTCATTTTCAAAATACACGATCCATATATACCATGCAGAATTCTGATTTAGTTCTTCTATTCATCTGTTCCATATTCAAAACAAAGCTAACCCAATATTCACTTTCATTTCTTTCTCCCCACTTGAAAACTGTCATGTGAAGTATAATCCCTGAGAATTTTGTAGTATTTTGTTTCAATTACATGCATTAATCTCAATCACTATTTGAGTGATTTTGGTCATGGATTTCCTGATTAGTAGTAATCAGCATACACAGCAAGTGGCAGACACACTAGTGACGAAAAAAAATAAAATAATGTCACCATCAAAAGATGGTAAAATTCTACTTTTCACAACTTGCATCTCAGACACTCGTTGACATGGACACCATGCCATCTCTGAAATTGTAAAATTTGATTGGATTTGACACTAAGTGTTCATCAAATGATGCTAGTCGTTTTTTTTCTGACATTATCCCCTGGGATAGAGTATGGTTACATTTCAGAATGAAGAGAGCTGTGTTTCAAAACACCCAAGGGTTGACTATTCTTTGAAACCTTGTAAAAAGAAGATTTTTTTTTTTCTTAGCTTCAAAAACTTGAGTTAAAGATTTAGATTACACATGTGGTAATCTAAATCTCATTTATAGTAATAGCAGCTTTGAAAGTAAATCCCCTTATACAGATATTTCATAGCCTGAACATTAAACTATCATCCAGCATAGAAACTTTCAAAATGTAAATTAAAAACTCAACTATTTACGTCCTTTTATGGCACCTAGACTTTGAAGCGCCTTGAGCGTGCATACTAGCATGGAACTGTGCTCTGTATAAATGTACATATTATTATTATTACCATTATCAGTATTAGATCGATTGTTGGACAGAATATCATAATTCTATTTTCTTTGAGATTCTTGAAAAAATCATTAACATTTTCCAGAAGCGAGTGTAAATAAGTCAACATTACTCAACTAATATTAGGTCTAAAATGCTCTTCTGTCCACTACCTTTTTGTCCCACTGACGGGGCATAAATACATGATTTGCACAAACTCATTATGTAGATTGGGAAATGCATATAAATATATTATTTGATAAATAAAGATCGTCCGGTTTGCAAATTTACAAAGTAGGTCGAATAGCAGCTACCAGGTACATGTTATTATTATTATTATTATTATTTCTTTTACAATATGACTTTAGTATATGTATAGTGGTATGAATCATCATTTTCATAGTAATACACTAGCTTTTTTTCTCTCTGTTTTCTGACCTTTTCTGGTATTGTGGCAATCAGTTTATGGTGTGGATATTCAGGTTTGAACTTATTATAACTGGTCTCATGTATCTGCATCACATCGGGAACTTGTGTATGGACCTCTAAAATTATGCTTAGAATCTATTTAATCTATTTAAAATCAGTCGAAAGTAACATTGCCCTTTAATATCATTTATTTCTAATTCCAATAGTCATGGTAACGAAAAGATAATTTAAAAGAGCTAAACTTCTATACTTTGGAACCTAAAATGGATGAAAATGGGTCAAAAAGCACATATTAATGTAATATGAATGTATATAAACTGATTTACATTCAGTTTTTACAATTTTTATTGTAATTTCTCATCAGTTATGTTCGTCAAAATCTGTGATGATTCCAGATAGAATGACAATCCAATCTACAAGTTTATCTTTTAGTCATTGTTTTGTAATTTGTTCATCAAGTCTTTTACTTGCAAATGGCGCTTGAGACATTGGAAACTGATTTTAAAATGTTCATTCAGTATAAAATATTGTATCATGGGCCCATATTTTTACACAGTAAGATGACAACATCAATTTAGATTGAAATGGACTAATATTATATCATAATGCATATTTTTAATGTCAAAGATTATGGATAATATTGTCAGTTAGAGGATTAGCTCCTTTAAAAATTGTAAGGAAATGGAAGAAAATTAGAAAGTAGGTATTGAAGTAATATTACGATAATCACATTTACTCATCAGGTTAGCTTATAATTGTTCAGACATCGTATCAATTAGAAACTCAGGGCACAAGCGGTCAATTTTTGTAATTTGCCAATGATTCTTCATTTAGAGGTTTAATCAAATTGTGTGGTTGTAGAAGCTGTATAGTGGGTATATTGGCAGGTTTGGAAACAGATGTCAAGTAGGGACATGGATAGTAATCAAGTTGTGTTCCCTTGTAAGTTAATTTGTTTCCATCTTTTTCTAACATCTGCTCATAATTATACTGTCCTCAGCAACAAGCATACATCACAATGATTACCTATAGGCTATTATTACATGTCATATAATCTAGATTAATCGTTCCTCTAATCACTTTAATCTCTCAATCCTGTCAAAATTGGACAACTCTACAACATGTCCATGGTATAATTAACTTCTGAAAACTATAAATTTTTCAATGACGTGCAAAACATTAAATTGAAAGCATCATTTCATGGTGTTATTCTATCTGAATTATGTGACTATTTAAAATGAAAAAAAAAAAAAAAATGTTATGATAAACCTAATTTAAGGATCTTTTATTTTGGGCAATATTAAAAGGTGAAAAAAGTTATTTTTAAAATATCAGACAGATTGAGTGAATGTGTGCTATCAAAGAAATTGGACATGGCAGAATACAGAAGATTATATTCTGTGAGGTAATGGTATGGAAGACTTTCTACATGAACAAACTTCCATGTATGCTGGCCTGAGGAATAGCATAGAACATTTAATACAAGTATATTGTTCAAAAGGCTTTGTCTGTTTGGTTAAGAATCAGGCAGGCGTTTTTTAGTTCTAAAAGATCATTGTAATCTGGAATTCATTTTATTTCGCCTGTAATGTAAGATAATTATTATTCTCATCTGACACTTGATGCTTCTTCCCTACACATTTCTCTTAATCACGTCTGCTACGGAAGTTTTGAATAATTAACATCCATTCTAAGTGTCTTCCAGAAATACCAAAGGCTATAGGTGTTGTTTGCTTAATTTGGCTGTAATGAAACGGTAATTACTAAGTGATTAGTCATTATTGAGCCATAGTATTTACTTATTTGTATTAATCTCTGTCTGCAACCAAATTCTCTTCAGATTGCTTTATGCACAGCTCCACAGCAAAAACATCAAGTGCTGGGAAAAATATTTGCCAGCAGTAAATACTTATTTAGTGATTTAGTGTGTGTTCATAATCAGGGTGGTATTGATACCCAAACTGATGGTAACATAGAAATATAGAACATCCTAGTCAAAGACTGGGTCTAATATCATAATTTCCTGAAATATTCACCAGTTTTATTTCATCTTGTATTGTTATAATAACTTGCTGATCAAACAGTTTTTAAGCAAACACACTGTCAAAACATATTTCCTCTCACAAGCTGAGGCAATGTGCGATATGAGATACATCAAAGAATATCGAAAAAATGATTTAATGAAGTCCCTTGGAGGCGGCCAGAGAAGTAGTTTCGCAGAACATCAGTAAATCCCTTAACAGTAACATAAACAATGAGTCTGCTACAGGCAGGACACAAACTTTAAAAAAATACAAGCAACTTACTGCTTTCTCCACAAAAACACCCTTCAGTGTTTATGAGAAAAATGAGATGAGGGATTTGATTGGGATTAGACAGGTACCAATCTGTCGTTCATTGAATAAAGTGTCATTTGATTCTCAGACTCCATCAAATCTTTCTACTTTCTAATCAATACAGTACCGCATTGAATCAGAATTGGCAGATCAGTGGCGTAAATAGGCTTAATTACCAGTTACTTGTAGATCTATATTGGTGTTGTTTCGCCTTATCTCCTGTTAAAAGATTTTTTTTTTTT